TTTTAATAACAATAATAATTAATATGAAACTTAAAAAAAATAAAAACAAAATGCATGTCCCTACTGACATGGTAAGACTACAGAAAGAGAGAAAGTAGGCCCTGCTATTCGCGACTGCACTACAGGCCTCGGCAGCTTAATGCCATAGGAAAGGAGTGGAGATTGTGTAAGGACTGGGAAAGAAAAACAGAAGAAGGACACTGTGCTTATTCTCACACAGCTTGCTTATCAACCCAGATCATCCAAAATAATCTACAAAGTATTGAAGGAATAAGAAAGTTCAGCAAGGGTGCAGAATACAAAAAGGCAATATCGAAAACTCCACAGGGATCTATTAGTATGGCAACAAACAATTTAAAAACATAATTTCCATAAAAGACCTGCTTTATCATAGCTTCTAAAACAAGATACCTAGGGATAAATCTAACCAAACATGTAATGCATTTTTATAGAAAATATTTAAAACCTTATGGAAAAGAGCATTTCCTAATTAAAAAAAAAAATCTTATTTCAGCATTTAGGAAGCTATAAATGAGGCGATATAAAATATGAGTGGGAGAACACAACAGATTAAGATGGCAAATTTTCCTGACATTATATAATCATTACAATTCTAATAAAAACATAAGTGTACAAGCTGAACCTAAAATATATTTTAAAAAGAGAAAAGATCTAAGAACAGCCAAGATAATTTTGAAGAAAATAAAGGGTAGAGGTAAATGAACCTCCCAGGTAACAAAGTTTTAAGAATTTAAAATATGATATTGACATAATGACAATCTACCAGACCAGTGGAATCACCCCACTGTGACCAGAAACCAACCAAAATAAAGTGTGACCAATCCAATGGACTGCAGTAAGACCTTGGCATATGAGAGAGGGGGCATAACAAATCACTGGGTTAAATGTCTAGTAGTCACATCGGGGCATGGGAGCACTTACAGGCATAGCACATCATGCACAAAAGTAAATCCCAGGTGAACTACAGGCCAAAATATGGTAAGCAAAATATTTTAAGAAAAATTTATCTTTTAAGTAGAGAATAATTTCTTGTAGAACAAAAACAAACTGAAAATATTTGATAAATTTCAGCACATAAATATCAAAATATGTATATCAAATTCTGTATTCTCAAGAATGAAAAAGCAAAGCCTCAATCTGGGGGGGAATGTTATAATCTATGCATATATGCTTATATCAACAAATAGAGGGAAAAACACCAACAGAAAACAATAAACCTCAAACTCGCTGCCATGGAGTCAGTGATGACTCAGAGAAACCCCGGTGGGTTTCTGAGACTCACTGTTTACGGGAACAGAAAACTCAGTCCTTCTCCCATGGAGCTGCTGGTGATTTCGAACTGCTAACCATGCAGATTGTTGCCCAGCACGTAACCACTACACCACCTGGGCTCCTCGTAGAACATAATATGAACAAGCAACTTCAAAGAACTGGAAATGAACATAGCTATGTGAAAACAAGCACAATATTGCTGCTAATGAATGCAATTGCTATTAATATATCATTTTATAACATTACAATTGGCAAAACTTAAAACTTTAGTAATACAAATAATTGACTGGTTTGTAGGGAAGTCCTAACTGCTACAGTCTGCAGACAAGAATACAAACTGTATCGCCACGTAGTAAATATAAAGATGAGGCACCGTAAACACTAGCAATTCCACTTCTGGGTGTGATCCGTAGGAAAAGGCTCACCTGTGTGTCTAAGCAGCCACGTACAAAGAAACACAAGTGATGATGATTAAAATAGTGTAAAACTGTAAATAATCTGAAGGCCCATCAATGGATATATTAAGTAAAGATACAGCTTGCACTAATTTATAACAGTTAAAATTCATGATTGGATACATTTCAAAACCATAACAGTAAATGGAGAAAAAATGCAGTAGAAATATATCTACAAATATGACTTACACATATTTTAAGAACCCAATCAGAGCATTTTGCATTATTTTAAGTAGGAGACTGGAATGTGCCAAAGATTACCTCTAGAGAGAGGCTGAGAAACCCCTATGATAGGTGTAGTGGGGTGCTGGCACATCAACAATATCGGTGCCTTTTTATTTCTTTAAAGAAGGTCTGAAACAAACATGACAAAATCTTCTATTTGCTATAGCTAATAGAGAATATAAGGGTGTCTGTTATGGTTTCCTGTTCTTTGGGCACATTAGACATATTTGATCATTTAAGCATTTTATGTCAAAAAGGCCTATCCATATGCTTGCTAAGTCTGTTTAAAAGGCCTATCCTATAGAACAAGAATAAAGACTAAATAATGGAGCTTGGTTTGAAATGGCAAAAAAAAGGGAGGGGGAAATTGGTTCAATACACTGCAACATGACCAGACATGAGGGTTTTCAAAACGTTCATGGAACACTTGCATTATCTTTGCATTCCGTTTTTTCAGAAATGTTGTGGTCTACTCAGATCTGAGGAAAGGTCGTGTCCATAAACTTAATGTGGAAAGCGGCTGGCAGCACACTGAGTCAGAAAGACGAGCCCCCAACACGTTGGGCTCTCAATGGAAGCATTAAACAGGCGGCGGACTCTCCCCTGCACAGCTCCGCGAGTGCAGCTGCCGGCTCTGAGGCATCGATGGATGGGAGGGCGGTACCACAGAGAAGAACCAGACAACAGTGAAAAGTGCCACCGCTTCGTCCCAGCGCTTGGAACAACAACAACAACAACAAATGTATGGCTACAATGATACCTGAAAGCAACAGTTACACTCAAAGCCAAAGCGAATTATTTCCCAGTGTTGGTGCCAACAATCCTCCCTTTCCAAGGGAAACCTGCCCCAGCTCATCATCCACTCAGAGAGCTACAAGAGTCAGCACGGTAGCAGCAGGTGCTGGTTGTCCCTGCACCAGGGCCGGGAAAATCGAATCAGTTAGGAGAAAAGTAAGGGGCCTGGCAGTGCAGTGGTGAAGCGCTTGGCGGCTAACCCCCAGAATCACCAATTCAAATCCACCAGCCGTTGTTTCAGAGAAAACGGTTTAGGCCCAAAGGTATAATTCCTTTACGGTAAAAATCTTTCTTGTGTTCTTTATATTTGAAAAAAAGAAAAACATTTTGAGAGTGCTAAGATCAACCAATAGAAACCGTATTTATTGTGTGAGAATTAATAGCTTGGGCTACAGAATGGTGGTTGGCTGTGAGCTGCAGGAAATCTCAGCTTCCAGAAGGGGTGATGCTGAGCTCCTCACCCGTGGAGAGAAGACATGGCAGCTCGCATCATTTCATCCACCAGCAGAAGGTTGGTGGCAATCACCGTGCTGAGGAGGAAGACGACAAGGTGAGCAATGTCGACCAGCCCACTGCAGAGAGTCCTTTGTTTGGAATGACATTGGTGTGAGACTTTGTGAGACAACGCTGGGATCAGTACAAATACCACCTCCGGTATTTTCATTTCAGCTCCTTTACTGATAAGGTCCAAGCCTGATTTTATATTCCAGCAAAACTGAGCTCAGTTTTAGCCATATCATTTGATTTTTCCCACTAAACACTTGAAGTCTCATTCCCCACCCCTTCCCAATGAGCAGCAAGACAACCCTTCCTATAACTAGTGAAACTAAAATATAAAAGGGAATGTAAAAGGATAAAAGCTACTCTTTCTAACTAGCTATGTCTTTTCATACCGTGTATCATTTTTCCACTACAGACTGGTAAAAGTCATTTAAGGTTTTTTTAATGTTCTTTTTAAAAGACTTTTAATGTCATTATGCTCTAAAGGTGTCTGTTCCTCATATGAAGACAGACTTACCAAGAATGAAGGAGTTGTTTTTTCACACAGTAATTATCCCAGATTCCCGCATCTGCCGCTACCATTGGCTCACCTGCAAGGTAAAAATTATTTTAATATACCATCCTGATATTCTATTCTAGTAATACTAGTTGATATGGCCTAATAATACTTAATACACCATCAAGATTGTCAAAGCCACCAATGACCGCACACATGCTGTAAAATCGAATGGTCCATTTTCAGACCTCCTCACCAGTGACGCTGGACAAGCAAAGACACCCCCTTTGCTTGTATTCCAGGACCACCACCACCACCCCCCCTCCTGCTTTGCTTTCTTTCGCACTAGCCGCTCTCTGCCTACTGCGCTGACTCTTCTTCCCGGAGGTCCCAGTGTCGGCACACTCCGAGGTCCAGTCCTGGCTCTTCTCTCCTCCAGAGACACTCGTTTCCCGGGTGATTTTAACTATGCTTCTATTGAAATCATCGGCACTCTCGGGCTCGCGCTCGCTCGCTCTCATTTGTGGTTTGGGTGGAAGTTCATAAAACAAATTTTTCATTCAACAACTTTGCATGTTTTGCTTCATGGCATTAGTGTAAAAGCACTCTCCCCACTTCCTCCCTGGGGTCCCCATTTCTCTTTGCCCATCTTTCCTGCCCCTGAACCTTGGTTTTTGGGGAAGCACTGCCCTTTGGGTCTTCTATGTTGTTTGTTCTGAGGAGTACAAGGGAGTTTCAAAAAGTTCATGACAAATTCTATTTTTCCATGAGTTTTTTTTTAAAACCCTCATCTGTTCCTCATGGGTGTTGTTGATCACATTATAGACCTATTGTTTGGCTGGAAGGTGATTCTAGGGATAGGTTCAGTTCCGGGTCTAAAGGGTCTCTGAGGATCATCATCACAAGGGTCCCACCAGTGTCTATCAGACCATAAGTCTGGTCTTGAATTTCGGCCTACATTGTTCTCTCACTCTGTCCAGGATCTTCTGTTGAGATCCTCATCAGAGCAGTTGGTCCTAGTAGCCGAGCACCATCTAGTTCTTCTGGTCTTTTTTTTTTTTTAATCATTTTATTGGGGCTCATACAATTCTTATCACAATCCATACATCCATCCATTGTGTCAAGCACATCTGTACATTTCTTGCCATCATCATTCTCAAAACATTTGCCTTCTACTTGAGCCCTTAATATCAGCTGCTCACTTTCCCCCTCCCTCCACACTCCCCCCTCCCTCATGAACCCTTTCATGATTCATAGATTATTATTACTTTGTCATATGGTACACTGTCCAACATCTCCCCCTGCCCTCTTCTCTGCTGTCCATCCCCCAGGGAGGAGGCTATACGTAGATTCTTGTAATAGTTCTTCTGGTCTTAGGCAAAAGTTTGTGTGGGCCATTAATCCACTGGACTAATTGTTTCCTTAAGACTTTGATGGTCTTCACTCTTTGCTCCGGACAGGGGAGAAGCCAACAGCTGTATCTTAAATGGACTCTCCAGCTCGGAGCTTCCCTGAGCCCCAGGTCTAACCCCTATTTACTTGATGGTCGATGACACTCACTGCCATTATGTCGGTTCTGACTCGCAGTCGCCCCAGAGGTTTCCGAGCCTGTGACCCTACAGGACAGGGAGTTTCTTTCTCCCATGGAATAGCTGGTGGGCTCGAGTTCAAACCTTTACTTAGCAGCACCATCAGGGATCCTTTGGAAGTTGAAAGGCACTTGCCCAAACTGAATGCTGGCACTCCCCACCAGAATTTGCTCTACCCACTGTCCTCTCCAATTCTGCTAACGGTAACCCCACCCTTCCGGATGTCAATTGACACTTATCAGAGAGTAGTCGGTGTGACCCTTTTAAGCATAACTAGACCATGTCGCAACTGTTCAAAATGTCTCCCCATCCCATGAGAGTAAAAGCCCAAGTCCTGAGGCCCACATACTGCCCCAACGTAATCTAACCAACTTTTCTCATCTCTTTCCTCCTGTGCAAGAACACGAGACCCCAGCTTCCCCCAGCTGCTTCCTCTCCCCGACAACCGCATTGCTAACTTCCTCCCCTCCTCTCTTAAACGGATGTCTCCTCAGTGAGGTGCAGCCTGACAAACGGCCACCCTCCCTCTGTCCTCTGGTGCTAGTTTTCACCATCATCTTTCAACCGCTCTTTATTGTTTTCACAGCATGAGTTACTTCCTAAATGCTAGTGGTATTTATTTATTCAGCTCATTGTTTAAGCCTATCTTTTCCCACTAGAACAGATTTTGCCTGTTTTGTTCTATAATGAATCCCAGGAGTCCAATAAGGGCTCAATATTCATTTCTTAAAAGAATAAATATTTTAGGACATCCAGGAGTCAACTAACCTACTACCGGTCAAGTTGATTCTGACTAATCACGACCCTATAGAACAAAGTAGAAGTCCACAGGGTTTCCAGGACTGTAAATCTTTACCAGGACAGACAGCCTCATCTTTCTCCTGTGAAACTGTTGAGTTTGAACCTCTGACCTTGCGATCAGCAGACCAACGCTTAAGCCACTGTGCCATAAGGGTTCTTTTTCTTTATTAAGCAGCTAAATGTCTTCACTTTCTTACCTGTATTCAAATCTATGCCAACAAGTTGTTTTGATTCTGAATGTTTGGCCTGAACTTTTAATAGTGTATCCTGTGGGTCAAAACCAGCATTTTGAGCAAGAACCTTTAGGAATAAAAAGAATAAGATTATTAGTGTGGAGTATCGTGAACATACATCCTTGAGGACCAGAGCTGACACTCAGAAGGGGATGACAACAGAAAGTCCTGGGTAAAGTGGGAGAAAAAATGTGAAACGAGCTCAGTCCTAAGAAATGGCCAGACTGACTGGTAAGACAGACTGACTGGCCAGACTGACTGGTAAGACTCGTTCAGATGCGGGACTGAACTCAGCTCCCTTGGCTCCATTTTCAGGCGCACAACGGAAAGGCCCACACAGGGAACAATAGCACTCGGGGAGTACCCCATCCTCAGAGTCATTAACCCTTGAAGATCGAGAGGGCTGCGTTTGCTCGAGGACAGAACTGAGGAGACAGGAAGGGGTGTGGAAGGAAGAGCAAACAGAGACTGGAAATCACATACACAGCATGCTGATCCGGGTCCTCCTGTTGCTTCTTTTAAATCATTTCACTCTTCAGCTAAATCGGGCTATTCGTTTAACTATCTGGTAGTGTTTATATTTCACTCATCATTTCTCCTCTATCACATGAAATTCTGAGGCAGACATTAGTGCCTCGGGTCCATCCCACTGCATTGATTTCCCTACTTATAAAATATTAAAGATATCAATGACACATTTTAAACCAAGAAGGAAGTACCATGCTCCTCTTGTTTCCCGATCCCTCCAGCTGTCCCCAGATGGTCAGCTGTGGTCAGCACCCTTGTACTCATCAGCTCCATGAGACGGGAAAGCCACAACCTGTGCCAGCAGGGATCGTGACGCCTGCACCCCACACAAGGTCCATGTTCCAGTGGTCCCACATTGGATGAGGAACAAGGTTCCATCACTGTGTATTGTGTCAGCCTGAGCCAAGCCCTGGTGTGTCCGATCGCCCCGTACGCAGGAAAGCTGGACATCCAGTAAAGAAGCGCCAAGATGAAGGGAGGCATTTGAATGACAGTGCTGGGGAAGAGGGTTCAAAGGCTGCCAAAAATACAAACAAATCCATCTTGGATCCAACACCGCCAGAGGGCTCCTTAGAGGCAAGGATAACAAGACTTAGTCTCACATACTTTGGACAAGTTTTCAGAGTAGGCCAGTCCCTGGAGAAGGACATGGTGGTAAAGTAGAGGGCAGTGAGAAGGAGGAAGGCCCTTACCGAGATGGAGTAGCACAGTAGCTGCAGCAACGGACTCAAACATAAGAACTGGGAGGATAGATGGCGCAGGAGCAGGTGATGTTTTGTTCTGTGGTATATAGGGTCGCTGTGAGTTGGAAACAACTTCGTGGCCACTAACAGCGCCGTATGATCATGGAGCACTGGTGGCATGATGTATTACGCTGGACTGCTGACCACTAGCCCCACCTCCAGAGCAAAATGAATCTGTCTGCTCCTCTGAAGATTGACCGTCTCAGAAACCCGAAGGAGCCATTCTGCTCTGACCAATAGGGTTGCTAAGGGTCGGCACAGACAGGCTGTCAGTGAGTCTTTATAGGGTCATTCACCAAGAGTCCAGTGATGGATCACTGGAATGGCAACTATGAAGAGGGAACTTTGCTGGCATTATTAGCAAATGCTCCAATTCGCGGCAAAACTCCCTGCCACAGAGTTGATTCTGACTCACCGTGACCCTCTAGGGATGAGTAGACCTGCCCCGTGAGTCTCCAAGACTGTGAACTGGTGGTTTTAAACTGCTGACCTTGGATTAGCAGCCCAATGCATAACTGCTGTACCTCCAGCTCCTCTGAATTCAAAGTAGCATATTTGGAAGACACTGTCTGTATTTCTAAGTAGTTCACAACCAGATTAAGCAAAGGAAAAAAACAACAAAAAAAGGAACCACATTTCTCTGCCCTTCTGTTGTCACATGGGGAGAAAAAATTAGACTGCTCTCCTTCTATGGGAATTATAGTGACATTGACAAATGCAAGCTAATATTTGGGAGTTCTACAACAGCCGGAAGCCCTTACCTTTCACAACTTAAAATGACAACACTCTGGATGCCACCAACAAATGAAGGTCTACCTTAAAATCTCATTTTTAGGTCTAAACTTTTTCTTCATGACTAGTCAACCATGGCCTACTTCTACAGGAAACATGTGGAGCTCCTTTCGAGAAGCATGCTTCAGAGGACGAAGCAAGGGGATGAGCCAGCTATTTCATGAAGCTTCTGCAAGGATTCCCAACTTTGATCACAAAAGTGTCCCTGTTTTTACTGTAAAACACATCAAGAGGAAAACTGCATGAGGATACTCCAGTACGATCCTGTCTTTCTCCCTGCTGTCAAATCACACAGGCAATTTGTAACCCTAGCCCTGTATGTCTCCCCACTTGTGCCGCTGGCCATTAGCATAGTTCTACCTTAGGGACGATGAGCAAGGCATCAGCAAAAGCTTGGACTCCCAGGCGGGCTCTCCCTCTCACGACGAGCTTGTACGCAGCAAGACTTTCAGCCACCGCCACCTCAACGGCACCAGCCCCTGGAACCACACAGCCTTTGGGGAAGAAAAGTGATTGACACACATGCACCTACACGCACAAAGAAAAAGATTTAAAAAGCAATTTGCTATTCAAGTGTGTTATACTATCTTGCCTTTCTTGAAATTGAATTTAACTATATGTAGAAATCAAGTAAGTTGAAAAGCTCGGTGATTATTCACTTGTCTTATGAAGCATTCTAACGTTTTATGCCATTAAGTAATTATGCCTGGCATAGGGAACTCGGCTATAAATGTTTAGTTTGTTTATCCTCCAGTTAATAAGAACAGACATTTCTGAAAGCCAAAATAGAAAACACTTCAGAAACGGTAACAGGAGTAACGATTTCCGGAGGGTAGGGAAGGGAAGGGGGGAGTTGATATCAATGATGACTGTATAAACCCACTCAAGGGGAAAACGAATCACAGAATTGCAAGTGAATGGATACATTGGATAGTGTATTTTATGGCAAAAATAATAATAATAATAAGGGCTCCTAGTGGGTAGAGCGGGGGAGGGAGCGGATAAAGGGGAGCTGATATCAAAGAGTTCAAGAAGAAAATATTTTGAAACTGATGGTTGTAGCTATTGTAAAATCGTGCTTGAGCTAACTGAATTATGGATTGTTAAAATATCTGTAAGAGCTCCCAATAAAATGATTGATAAAAAAATTAACTTTTAAAAAGAATATAGTCAAGGAAAAAAATAAACATTTTTTCCACTTTATTTTACTCCTTTATGGTTATGCTTAAGAGGTTCTAATAGTATCAGCTTTGAACAGTTTTCAGGCCAAGATAATTAGGCCATAGTTTCTTATATACTAGGAGGTACCCCACCCCAAAATGGAACCCCCCCAAAAAAACCTATGTATTAATTTTTTTTACAAAATAACCTTATCACCTTCAAGGTACTTTTCACTACACTTAATACATTTGTCAAGTCTACAATTCCACTCTTGGAAACATTTTTCAAACTCATCTGTTTGGATGGCTGACAGCACCTCCCTCATTTTTTTCTTCACCTCTTCTGCATCATCAAATTGCTGTGCTTTCATGTCCCTCTGCATTTGCAGAACCAAAAAAGCCACATGAAGCTAGGTCAGGTGAATAAAGTACCTGGGGTAAAAGAGGTATGCTGGGTTTTGCCCAAAACTGGCCCACTGAGATGGCTGCATTGTCGTAAGAAAACCAGTCCCCTGTGTGGCACAAATCAGGCTTTTTGTCACACAGTACTACGCAATCTTTTCAGAACCTCTAAAGAGAAAGCTTGATTAACATGTGACCTGGAGGAACAAACACCAAATGCACTATGAGTAGACATTTTCATCCATTCAGGAAGTTGACAGACATCCAGAATGAAGTTTGTCATCAATCAACATTTCACCTCTTTTGAAATCACAAAATCACTCATACACTTACTTGAGTTTTTCCCATAGCGCTGTCCTTGTAAGTTGTGTTCAACATCACAACAGTTTCTGCATATTTTCCCCGGACAGGAAACAAAATTTCATAACCACACACTGTTCTCTTAAATCAGCCATTACAAAAAAACGAGGTTCAAGCGAAACTGCTTTTATGAAAAAATTCACTATAACCAGAGAGAGCCTTCTCAGGTGACGCCACTGAGTGCACTAACTCAGAGTGAGTTACTCGATGCTTGCCCACAGGGAAGGGGGGTGGGGGTGGGATGTGTGCTACAAAAGCTCTGCCCAGGACAATTCAAGTTCTTTGGGGTGAGTAGGGGTACTCCCTCGTAGAATTCTTAGAACTCAGTGAACTATGTATTTCTATACTGAAACAGAACCCAGACTTCAAACAGAAAAATGTTAGTATCCTAAGGCAAAAATCTAGTTAAACACGTAAATGTGTTAAATCGTGGGGTGACTTTTGTACCTGCTTGTGTGGTTTTGTGAAACAGGATGACTCTTCCTTAAGCCTGAAAACTACTTTAGAACCACTCATCTTCAAAGCTCAACAACACAGACTCTCTCCCCAGATCCCACAGCCTTTTCCCACCACCATCCAGTTTCTCTGCTTCACTTCTCAGGATGACTGCTCACAAGAGTTGATCCTATACATCACCTCCCAATCACACTTAAAATGTTTAAAGTTCCTTGTGCAATATGGGATACATATTTTAATATTTGTAAGGTATAAATATATATGTGTATGTGTGTATAATGAAAATGTGTATAAGGTATAAAGAAATAATAAAACAAGCACGTACCAACCATCCAGCTTAAGAAACAGAACACTGCTGAAAACCTCTCTGGTCCCATTCCCCTGTGAAAACACACTAGGATCAACATTCGTGAGATGCCACAAAAGTGGTACTTAAGAGCAATGTATATCACTAAACATCTATGTTAGAGACAACGGTTTCAAACAAAGAACCTCAGCTTCTACACTTGGAGGCCAGAGAAGGAAGAGCCAATAAAATAGTACAATGGCCAGCCCTGGTGCCTAGGGCCCAGGAAGGGGCACGTTTCCAGAGCCCTGAAGACAAGGCCAATACCCTTAAATACAGACTCTTCCACTCCACCTTCATCTGTCAAGCAACTGCCAAGAACAAAGGCCCCATACCCCACAACCTGGCAACAAAAGCAGTATCGCCTCGCAAACGGATGGAAGGACGCCATGGGGCAGGCAACAGGAGACATGGGAAGAAACACCTGAAAAAGGAGAACCAACTGCTGCAATTGCACTCCTGTCTTGAGAAACCAGCAGAAGCAGCCAAGGAGAGTGAGGAGACAGGACAGGGGCCCCACAGGAGAAACAGCAGAGACCCCAGGAGGCTCCACAGGAAAATGGAGTGTAAGCCCCACCTCACCATCCAAACTCAAGAAGAAAAAAGGTTTTTCCCAAGGAGTAATTGGAAGGCTCTCAAAGAGGTGGCTGTCCCCACGAGGAAGAAAGATCCAAGTCTCTCCCTAAGGAAGAACCACTGGTGATCCATATGATCATCTCAGCAGGTGCAGTGACAGGCATTAAACCAGCTCCAGCAGCCATGCTAATTCAACAGCACACCCACAAACAGAAACAGGAGAGAACTCCTCAATCTAAAATTGACTCGGCGGCGTTAAGTTTGTTTTGGGTCCACACGAGGAACAGACTGCCAAGAAGGATTAGCCACGGGAAACCTGAGGGACAGCAATGGAACCTTGTTAGCGAGAATGCTGGAGGATGAGCCCCTGGCAGGGGGAAGGTGTTCGAAATAAGGCTGTTGGCATGGATTTGCCTGTTCTGAGTATTTCATACAAATGAAATTATATAAGTGACTTATTGTCTCTGGTTTCTTGACATAACAATGTTTTTAGGTTCAAATTCGTTCTAAGGCGCCAGTCATTTTACCTACCATTATATTTGCACCATCACATAAATGTCCACACAGTCAAATGAGCATTGTTATTAATATTACAAGACATAAAATAGTTTTTATCTCAGGGACTCCCCTAAGATTATGTATGTATCAATGCCTCAAGTATCAATAATCCACTCCTTTTAGTGGTCAACTAACACTATTTTTTAATGAATATAACACATTTTGTTTATTCATCAGCTCATGGACATTTGTACTATTTCCATAGTTTTGTATTATAATATTTCATTGTTTTTGTTGAAAGTTTGTATATATACTGTTCAGTGACATTGATTACATTTTCACAATACTTTCTCATTTCTGTTCCAGTTGTCCCATGAGTCTAGCTTCCTTATCTCCTTCTCCCCCCTCCCCACTTACCTCCTCAGCTTTGCTTTAGGGTAAACGTTGACTATAGGGTCGCTATGAATTGGCATAGACCCCACGGCAGTGAGTGAGTGATACGGTCTCATACAGATAACTTTTTAGAGGAAGGAGCACAGTACGCATGGTGTCACGATTTTACTGCACAATCTCTCATTTACCTCAAAGGTGACCTCTGGGAGTGGTTACAGTACAAAGTTTACAAGGTATCTCAACAGTCTCAGGGCTTCCCCCTAGTCTACCAGCCCTCCAAGTCTGCCCTGTTAAAGACATTTAATTTTGTTCTATGCTTTCCTCCCATTCTATGATCTACTCTGTCCCTGGTGAGAACTGGCAATCACAGTAGCTTGATACCATCTAGTTCTTCCGGTCTGCAGGTACATATTATGACTATGGTTCGGAGAGCTAATCGTCCTATCGACTAGTTTCTTCTTCTGAGTGTTTGATCTGCTTCTTTCTCTTCTGCTTCGATGAATAAGGACCAGAAGTTGGTTCCCAGATGATGACGCCCAAGTTTGTAAGAGCCCAGACACTACTAACCAAAGTAGATTGTAGAACACAAAGTTTATGAACTATGTTACATAAAATGACCAAGTTGTCCCACGAGACAATGGTGCCTTCCACTCGTTGGCTCTTAAGAATACTGCTGTTATGAACATTAATATACAAGATTTTATATGAATATTTTAAAAATCATTTTATTGGAGGCTCTTACAGCTCTTATCACAATCCACTCATATATTCATTGTGTCAATCACAGTTGTACATTTGTTACCATCATCATTTTCAAAACCCTTTCTTTCTACTTGAGCCCTTGATATCAGCTCATTTTCCCCCTCTCCCTCGCTCCCTCATGAACCTGTGATAATTTGTAAGGTAGAATTGGGGTCATGATAGTGGGAGGTGGGGGGCAAGTATTAAACAACTAGAGGAAAGCTGAATGTTTCATGGGTGCTATACTGCACCCTGACTGACTTGTCTCTTCCTTGTGACCCTTCTGTAAGGGGATGTCCAATTGTCTACAGATGGGCTTTAGGTCTACACTCCACCTTCCCTCTCATTCACATCAATATGATTTTTTGTTCGGTCTCTGATGCCTGATACCTGATCCCATCGATACCTCATGATCACACAGGCTGGTATGATTCTTCCATGTGGGCTTTGTTGCTTCTCAGCCAGATGGCTATGCAAATATATTTTTTCAACTCTCGTAGGTATATACCCAAAAGTACAATTGAGCGGTCATATGGCAACTCTATGTCTAACTTTTGAAAGAACTGTTTTACAAGGCTGATGTATCATTTTATGTTCCCGCTAGCAATAAGTGAGCGGTTCCCATTGGTCCACATCCTGCCATCATGGTTATCATGAAATGCTATCTCTGTGTTTCTGAGTTGCATTTCCCTAATGAATAATGATATTGAACATGGCTTCATGTGCTTATTATCCTATTTTAGATATGTGTATTTTTATTGAGTTATTCACCCTACCTCCTTTTAGAAATTTAAAATATAATTATCAACAAATAAGCACTGCCTGTGTTAGACAGGGTTCTCTAGAGAGATAAAACCAAATTGCTGATAATT